TTAGGAGCTGTCACAGATTGAATGAAAGTAAGATGTGACAACTAAATGCCAGGTGGGACTTTAGATTGAAACCTGGAAGTAAAAAAGAACTTTAGTGGAAAACCTAGTGAAACACAAAGACAGTTTGGAGTTGGCGGTATTGTACCAAGGTTCCTTTCTGAGTTCTGATCATTGTAGCACGGTTATGTGGCTGTTAACCATGCTCAGGGGAGGCTATATGGGAACACTCTGTGCTATTTTTGCAACTCTTCTGTAAGTCCAAAATTATCCCCCCAAAAAAACTTTAAAAATAAAAGACTGCTAAGTAGCGTCAAGAGTGAATTCATCACTTTGCACTGGGCCTGCAAATGATGTAGCCAGTCCTGTATGGAAGTATATGGAGAACAGGACAAAACATTTCCTAGGATGCAAAGTAAGGAAGCAGCACGAAAATGACTGCCCTGAGCTTGAGAGGGTTCTGAAAGGGATGGAGACAGGAGCTGTTAAATCTGAATGGAACTTGGGGACAGGAATAAGAATGGCTGTGGGACTGAGTGCAGTGGCTCACGCCTGTAATCCCAGCACTCTGGGAGGCCAAGGTGGGCAGACCACTTGAGCTCAGGAGTTTGAGACTACACTGTGCAACATAGCAAGACTCACGTCTCTACAAAAAGTACAAAAATTAGCCAGGCGTGGGGGTGCACACCTGTAGTCCCAGCTACTTAGGAGGCTGAGGTGGGAGGATCACTTGCACCTGGGAGGCGGAGGTTGCAGTGAGCAGAGATGACTCCATGGCACTCCAGCCTGGGTGACAGAGTGAAACCCTGTCTCCAAAAAAAAAAAAATAGCTTTATATATTAATATCTAAGAATTTTTAAAAATAAAATAGCTGTGGACCACTAAATGAAGACCAGCTGGGACAACGCACACACACTTCAACTGATGATGGCTACAGAAAACGACAAGAATCTGATTCTGATATCCTCTCCCCAGCTTGGAATTGTAGAAGACCCCTAGAACTTAGAAGTAAGTCTGGAGAAAAGGACGGAAACACCACCCATTGGTATTCTCCCAACCTCCGTCGATGCCCCGGGTTGTTTTCTTGTCTTCCAAGGAAAGTCAAAAGCCTTGAATGATTAAGATTAAGTTTCTACTTCCAGTGCATGGAGGCTCTTAATAGAAATTAAGTAGTTATAGAAAAATTAAGTTCGATTTCCTGCCCGCCTGTGTTTGTGGACTGAGATTTGTACCTGTCTCACCCATCAGTCTTCCAAATTGATTTTACTAGTTAATTTGAGATTACAAATTATTCTACGTTGAAGTAGATGAGCATATTTTTTTAGCATAATGAGAAAGGTCATTGTAAATTTGATGCATTGTGAATTAAAATAAGTTAGGATGAAATGAAGGGGTGATAAGTGCTTTACTCTACAGAAGAGTTAATAATGTCAGACCTCCATGGAGAAATTACTCCACTAGATATGGATATGGGCTATAAGGAAAACTGAAAGCCAGAGCTGAAAATCTTAGCTTTGCTGGCCAAAATAAAAATATTACCATATATTTAAATAAATATTAAAGCATAAAAATGGCATGTGTTAATAACACTTAGATTTTACTCAGGAAGGACAAAGTACTGCCAAAGTTTTCAATAGACTTATATCTACCATGGTAAATTACTGTTACTGGGTTAAACTATTCTGTTTTGCTTATCAAGGAAGAAAGTCAACATTCTAGCTGTGCCACATTTAATAAACTGGCTGAAAAATATGTGTTACATTAATATAAAACACTGTAGGTAACATCAGCAAAAGTTCTGTAAGATGAGTTCATTAAAACAACAACCTGAGCATCTATATTAAGAGCATTTTAAATGTTTGTTTATTGTATTTATTTGGGAAACAAAACAAAACATTAAAGATACATTTATTTATCAAAAACAAGTCTTATGAGCAGGCAGTTGAAATGTTTAACATTGGACTAATACAGTAATAGAACTAACTTGTTAAATTTTGAAGACAGAAAAGATCCACTTTAACATGAAATACAAAACATCTTCATAAAATTTATTTTGTCCAGTCAAATGTGATCCTCCCTCTTGAGCCCAGGAGTTCCAGATAAGCCTGGGCAATATAGCAAGATCTCCATCTCAAACAAAATGTGATTTTAAAGAAGTTATGTGTATGTTATTCCTCTTCAAGCCATGGGAACGACTTTTAAATACTTTTTTTTAAAATAAGGGGCATTTTGAACTGTGCCATCCAACCCAGTAGCCACTATCCACTTGTGACTATTTCAATTTAAATTCTAATTAGCTAAAATGAGAGAAAATTTTAAATTTACTTCCTCTGTCTAATTAGTTACATCTTAAGTGCTCAATAGCCGTACAAGCCTATTGGACATTGCAAATTTATATTTTTAATGTGGTATGTTTATTTACATTTCCATCATGGTGGAAAGTTCTATCAGACAAGACTGCTTTAAATAACTTCTGAAAACCACTAATGTAATAAAGTTAGCAATAGAAGTCTGGAAATTTTCTTCTAAATGTAAAGTTTTGTTTCTGTGGTTTTGCTTCTAGTCCAGGGAATATTTCAGATACCACAAAATATTAACCAAATTCAAAATTTGCATATACAATTTGAAATTTCTTCTTGCCTAGGGTCGAATTGTATTTTTCTTTTAAAAAAATTATTTTTAATTGACAAATAATAACTGCGTGTATTTATGGGGTATGATGTGGTCTTTTGATCTATGTTTATAATGTGGATTACTATTCTGTATTAGCTCTGTTACTAGTAGTTTGTAAAATAACTTATGAAACTGAACGGTGAAGCCAAAGACTATCTTAGTTGGATTAAATCTGAATTACGGAAGTTAAAGCCTTTTTGCCCTTTATGGAAGATTTTTTTAATGCAAGATTTTTAAAATTATCAATTTTTTTTTCTTTCCCCGAGATGGAGTCTCACTCTGTCACCCAGGCTGGAGTGCAGTGGCACAATCTCGGCTCACTGCAATCTCCACCTCCTGGGTTCAAGTGATTCTCCTGCCTCAGCCTCCTGAGTAGCTGGGACTACAGGCACACGCCACCATGCCCGGCTACTTTTTTTGTATTTTTAGTAGAGACGGGGTTTCATCATGCTGGCCAGGCTGGTCTCGAACCCCTGACCTCAGGTGATCCACCCATCTCGGCCTCCCAAAGTGCTGGGATTACAGGTGTGAGCCACTACGCCCAGTAAATTATCTACTTTTTAAGACCTTTGTAGGCATAGTTTAACTTATAAAGATGTATGTAGAAGTACTATGGTTTTATTAAGCTGAAGGCAACTACTACAACAAATCATTCAGAGAATTATTTTTAAAAATAAATCCTTAATATCTTATCTTTAAAAAGCTATACTTGTATATTATAAACTATACTTAAATTTTGCTAAAATACTCTAAAAGTTGAATTTTGAAAAGATATATTTGAAAATATGTATTCATTCTACAAATCGGTCACATAAAAAAATCTAAATCTCGCAAGTCACGAAAATAAAAAGACTTGTCAAGTTTTATATGAATTATATTATTTGACTGAGTGGCTCCTTACTTTCTATTGGATTTCTTTCTCTACCTTATCAAAAAAACAAATTATATTAATGTCAATTATTTAAGACAAAGACATGGGTCAGAAGCCAGTGACCAAAACTAAAGGCTGACCTCCTACAAGGGAAAAAATTGCTTTTTGAACAATACCTAAGAATGCTATAAAACAGATGTGACTGAGGGCCATTTGAAAGGTTAGAAGCTGAAAGATGGCATTAAACCTGGCAAAATGGTTCTTAAGCACAAATGGTCGAATGATGAAATTATAGAGTACTTCCCATGGCTGAAACATTCAAGAACGTTCTTTAAAATCAAGTGCCAATGTTAAAAATAAAATCCTATGCATGAGCAAAATGGGATTATTTTTTAATTCTCTAAGAATCCTGTCAATATCCTTTAAAATCACTTCTTTCTAACTGAATTTGGAATCTTTTTTCACTTAAAACATTGTAAGATTTACATTTGTATGCATTTCAACTAGTAGAATCTATCAGAAAAATACAGCAAACATATTAAAACCTTCACCCAGACATTTCGGAAACCAAAAATTACGTTAGTGTCTGAATTTGGTCAGATCCTTAGCATTTATAGTAGCATATTCTTAAATCTAACCTACCTAAATGGAACTACCGTTTTATAATATGATTTTCTACGTTAACCCTGAGAAAACGTCAGTGCTAAGATATTATCAGGAGGTAACTAAAGAAATGTTGTTCTCATCAGGAGTAAATTAAAAGAACACAGGTCTCATCGGAAAGTTTAGGTCAAACAATGTGTCAAGCCTATGATTCTGATAGATGTATAAGAAAGGTACTGTGGGTGCTTTGGTTATATGTAAACCACACCTCACTTCTGAGTTAGTGGCATTAAGATCTAAGCCCTTGGTTACGATGTACTTGGCAGATACTCAATGTCTAGTGCCTGCAAGTTTCTATGCTTGGCAAATATTTCCCAGTGCCTCTTCTACGGCTCCCTACCTATCTTTATTCACTGACACTCAGATGTCATCTGTCATTACGTGCTAAGTGTACTGCTCTTCTCACCCCACATTCAAAGGCAATGAAAACTACCATTTTATATTATTTGACTGATCGACTCCTTACTTTCTATTGAATTTCTTTCTCTGCCTTATCAAAAAAAAAAAGTATATTAATGTCAATTATCTAAGACAAAGCCATGGGTCACAAGCCCATGAGTTTACTACCATTCCCTCAATGAAAGGTTGTCATCAAATTCACAGATTAAACATTACACATCTTCCTAATGTGATTCTACCTCCTTTATGAGCAGAAAAAGAAGTTTGGCAATTTCTACAGGTGTTAATGCAAACTACTCTGCCAGTACAGCAGGCTGATTTTGGAATTAGAACTTGAGAAACTTACAAAATAGTCTTAACAGTTTAAAAAAAAAAAAAAAAGTTTGGCAGCTGCCGTTCAGGTGCTTCTGTCAGTGGCGTTGGGATCTCTTGACTTTTACTCCTGCTCCGACTCTGGAGGGGTCACTGCTGGAAGTGACTGAGATCTGGCGTCAGCACTTCTGACATTATGTCTAAGGCTACGGATACTGCTGTTGATGGAGGTCACACACAACTTCCAGTCCCTTCCATTTTCCGAGAGATCACAAATTGGGTAGTTTTCTTGGAGGAACTCTGGTGGTAAAGACCCAAGACATAACAGTTTACTTGCAAATCACTTCTCAGAGAAATCAATTCATTCAACTTTCATTCTACTACGGTGTCTGTGAAAGGATCATTAACACTTCAATTAAAACACATAGGCTATAATCATTATTAAATTAGCTGAACAAATTCTTTAATCTAGAAAGAGAACTATATGAAACAGCACCATGCTTAAATCACAATAAAGCAACAATCTCCCATGACCTTGCCACATACCAGAATAGAAATCCTCTGCTGCCTTGAGTATCCAAGGTCAACTTTTGTTACTCTCAAAAGTATCAAACAAGCATCTAGCATGTCACTTATCAGCTCGAATAGAGACATGCTAAGCCTCTGCAATGAACAAGAGGCTGCAGTGTCATCCTACTTTAAGAGGGAAGAAGCTGTAACTGCTAACTTTTCTGGTACTGCTGGATTTATCTCTGATAAAAGGAATAAGGGTATTTAGATCTTGCAATTAGAGGAAGACTTCTAAAAGGGAAGGTGACAGAGTAACATAATTCAAGGAGCACTCTTAGAGAAAGTGAGAAGACAGACAAGGAGAAAGGTATGGAAGAGAGGTGTTTATTAGAAGAGCAGGGCTGCCCTCGGGCACATCATTAGGTAATCAAAGGCCTAAGTGCCTTTCAGCCCTTGGAAAAGGATCTGGTGATCCCTACAGGTTAGCATTAGTTAGTTACATTAATCTCATTTGTTTTTCAATAGGGTTAACAGGCTAATAAACATGCCATAAACATCACATATATCCAAATATTTTAGCAAAGCATGTGTCAAGGTTGAAAGGCTTTCGTACCCAAAGGACTAATTAATTAATGGATCAGTGGTAGCCTGGAAAAAGGTTTTTGTGGTATGTCACTGGATTCAGTATCCCACTCTATCCTGCTAACATTTTATTAATCAAAAATAAGTTCTGGAAAAAATGTTTATCCCATTTTCCCACAAGAGCAAAGCTGGGAGGGATAATTACCACACTGGAAGACAAATACAATGCAAAGCTTTCAACAGGTGGCAACAAGGAGCCTAAATTGACTGGTGTTTCCCAAAATGTGTTCTCTGGAACGCTAGTCATAAAAGAAGTTTCTTGGGGAAAAAGGTGCTAGTTGCACAAATGGGAAATGCTACCCTCTGCAGCTAGTCACCACTTGGGGATTTAAGATTGCACACAAGCATATTCAGGGTTCTGAACAATCCCACAGAAAAGACAAGTGGAGCCTCCTTTTGCTGATTGAAATGTTAGAGATACAGCTGCGTTGGTGGGACGCATAAATGAGGGAGGTGGCAGTGCACAGGACAACAGAAGGTCAGGGATCAAGACTGGGAGATTTAGGCAGGCTTGATGGCTAAAGGCATTCAGTTTTCAAACTGACAGTCGACCAGGCACGGTGGCCAAGACGACCGGATTGCTTGAGCTCAGGAGTTCGAGACCAGCCTGGGCAACAACGGTTAAACCCTGTCTCTACTAAAAATACAAAAAAATTAGCCAGGCATGGTGGCGCATGCCTGTAGTCCTAGCTACTCAGGAGGCTGAGGTGGGAGAATCACCTGAGCCCGGGAAGTTGAGTCTGCAGTGAGCCATGATCTAGCCACTGTACTCCAGCCTGGGCAACAGGAATGAGACCCTGTCTCCAAAATAAAAGAAACTGACAGTCAAGTGAAACCCATCTATTGACTGAGGTCCTTGGGGTGCTTGCTTAAGGTCTTTCCTAGCCGTTTGACTTTAAAAGTATTTCACAAGGCTGGGCACAGTGGCTCACGCTTGTTATTCCAGCACTTTGGGAGGCTGAGGCGGGTGGATCGCTTGAGCCCAAGAGTTTGAGACCAGCCTGGCCAGCATAGTGAAATCCATCTCTACAAAAAAATTACAAAAATTAGCCAGGTGTGATGGCGCATGCATGTAGTCCCAGTTACTCGAGAGGGTGAGGTGGGAGGATCATTTGAGCTTGGGAGGTCGAGGCTGCATTAAGCTGTGATCACGCCACTGCATTCCAGCCTGGGCAACAGAGTGAGACCCTGTCTCAAAAAAAAAAAAAAAGAAAAGGTATTTCATGAAACACCTAAAACACCTACTAACATCTAGCTGAATTTGAGAAACACAGTTCAGGGAATGCTGACCTACACTGACAAGATATGATGCAGCAAAAAATATATTTATATTTTTCTTACATTAACATTAAAAGGTGCTAGCAGTATAAATGGTAACAGCCTGAATACTAACAATATAAATGTCAGTTATAGCAAGAAAGATCTAGAGGTCTTAGTTGACCATATATTTTATTTTATTCTATTTTATTTCATTGAGACAGGGTCGCACTCTGTCACCCAGGCTTGAGTGCAGTGGCACAATCACGGCTCACTGCAGCCTCAACCTTCTAGGCTCAAGTGACCCTCCTGCCTTAGCCTCCCAAGTAGCTAGGGAGTAGCTAGTAGCCAGTGTATGCCCAGCTAATTTTTGTATTTTTTGTAGAGACAGGGTTTCACCAGGTTGCCCGGGCTGGTCTCGAACTCCTGAGCTCAAGGCATCCTCCTGCCTCTGGCTCCCAAAAGGGCTGGGATTACAGGCATGAGCCACTGCGCCTGACCTGACCATAAATTTTTAAATGGCATGTGACATTTTAGGCTGCATTAACAGCCTAAGAGGTTGTACTATTGTATCCTGGGTGGATTTAAGCACATCTGAAGGTAGTCATTGAATCAAATCATGAGGGATCAGGGCAACATGTATGTGAGGAATTCTGAAGGGAAATGTTAATATTTAACTGAAAAAGCATAAGGCTTAAGAGGGAAAAGGTTGGGTAGAACATTTCCTCTCCAACCCTCATGCTACCATGTGGAGAGACCTCTACATTGGAAAGTTGGGATGAATGGGACATGTACGATTGAAGAATAAAGCTGCTATTTTTATCTTCACCTGCCTGAATGGAGCAGCCCTCTCTCACTCAGTTCTGAACTTAAAAGGGAGTGTCTTTATGATCTCCTAATGCTCCAGCAGGAAGTGATGGCTGTCATTAACTGCTTGAAGGCCCAACCTGTGAAAAGTGATTGGATTGACCCTGTTTAGGTAGAGAAGGGATAACCAAGACAAATGTGTATGATTTACAAAGGAAGGTACATTTTGAGTCACTAGAAGGAAGAACTTTCCCATGAATTGTAGCTGAGACAGCAGGTGCCTCATCAATGGAAGTATTCAAAGCCCAGGGGAGGTGACTGTCAAAGTTGAGATAGGAGTTCCTGCTGTGGGTGGGATGTTGTATTAGAGGGCCTATAAAGTATTTCCTATTGCTAAGATTCGACAGTTCTGCAATATAAAGACATGGATGGGGGTTTAAGGAGTGAGGGTTGTTCGCTAATTGCAAATCTGCCTACTAACTTCCTCCCTATCAATTAAGAGCCCTTAAGTGATACTGAACTCTCATCAGAGAGCATCAGATAATAGTTATTTATATGAAATCTACACCTTTGGCTCCTGGACAGAGTTACCTTTGACTACTAATTTTCAGAAACTTTTCCCTCAAATAACAAAATATTAGGGTAAGAAACTATATTAGAACACAACAATAAATTGGTTTATTCATTCAATGGGATATGAATCAGCAGTTCAAATGTATGAACAGATCTCAAAAACATAATGTTGAGTGATTTTAAGTTGTGCAAAAAGATTACTGTATATCCCCATTTACGTACATTAAAACAACCACATGCCGAGTGCAGTGGCTCACACCTACAATCCCAGCACTTTGGGAGGCCAACGTGGGAGGATTGCTTGAGCCCACCAGTTTGTGGCTGGAGTGCAGCATTGCAGTGAGTCACGATCACACTACTGCACTCCAGCCTGGGCAACAGAGCAAGACTCCATTTCAAAAAAAAAGAAAAGAAAAAATAAAGTAAAATAACTACAGAACAATATTACATATTATTTATGGATCTATTAACATAGGTAGCAAAAGTATAAAACATGCATGGGGGCCGGGCGCGGTGGCTCAAGCCTGTAATCCCAGCACTTTGGGAGGCCGAGACGGGCGGATCACGAGGTCAGGAGATCGAGACCGTCCTGGCGAACACGGTGAAACCCCGTCTCTACTAAAAAATACAAAAAACTAGCCGGGCGAGGTGGCAGGCGCCTGTAGTGCCAGCTACTCGGGAGGCTGAGGCAGGAGAATGGCGTAAACCCGGGAGGCGGAGCTTGCAGTGAGCTGAGATCTGGCCACTGCACTCCAGCCTGGGCGACAGAGCGAGACTCCGCCTCAAAAAAAAAAAAAAAAAAAAAAAAAAACATGCATGGGAATGATATATCCAACTCCAGGACTGTGATTACTTCTGGGGAGCAGGAGAGGGAAAGGGATGATGAGTTGGAGTGTTAATTATATCAGTAAAGCTTTATTATTTTTTTAAAAACAAAAACGTGGAGCACAAAACACGAAATGTCTATTATCAGTGACGGGGGTAGACAGGTATTTATTATATTATTTTCCATACATTTCTGTATGTTTCAACTCATTTCAAATAAAGCAGTACTTTCACAGAAATCATATTAGGGGTCATAATCCCAGTTCTCCCACGAGTTCAGGTCTCTCCTCTCATATCTGATCACCCAGCCTTTGCTCTGACTCTTCCTTCTCCAAGTTCATTTTATCTTTATATTAAAGTGAAACAGACTTTCTTGTCAGCTTCTACTCCTTGGGGCTGGCTCTGCCCCTTGGGACAACAATGACTCTACTGTCTTCTCTCTGCTGAAATAACTGAAATGATTGTCCTTCTACAAAGCAATAGAACTTTGAGCCTTAGGAGAAATTTGTTAAAATCTGCCCTATGTGGATAATACATCAAACTCGTGCTGAATATTTGTTTACTGCAAAAGACATCTTTCAGATTTTAATATAATTCAGTGAGAGATAAAATGATAAAAGGCTTAGAAAATATTTTTCATCAACTTTTAAAGAAGTAATATTTTCTAGATGCTAAAGAACTATAAAAGTCACCTATTTTTCCCTGCATTAAAAAAAAAGTAATTAGAAAGACACTATTTCTTCCATAAACACATTCATTTCAGAATTGTCTACACACTTTTTTTTTAACCATAAAGTAAGGGAAATTGAGTTTAGTTTTTTTGCCTAGTAGGTTAGCTCAGTGATGTTCAAGTTGCAAGTTGTGACCAATTACTAGGTTGTGAAATCAGTGATAGCAGTACTTGAAAGAAATGTAATGGAAGAGAAAATACTGGAATGTAACACTCATAGAGTAAGTACTGTTTGTGAAACTTTTGCTTTGGTTTTTAAAAGTCACACTCACACAGAGGCATGTACTGTGTCACAATGTAAAATGTAGTTCTTATTATGGGTTGCAGCAAAAAAAATGTTTGAAAACAATTGGGTTAGATGATAACAAATGCTTATAAAAGCTGCTAGCTGAAAACCAGGTTTCTTTATTCTGAAACACCAGTGTTGTTCAAATTTGTTGGCTATGAAAATGTATGATATGAAGGTAGGAACCACCTGAGATCAGAGCTACATCTTTGCTGGGTGCCAGTGACACAAGTAAGAAATATTTTGCTTCCACTTTGTCCAAATTTAAGATTTCACAAGAAGTTTTTAGAAGCTTTATTACTTCACTTAGCATATGTCACAGAGACTATATTAGGCTAATGTGCACAAGAAAAACTTATAAATTAACCTTCTGTGCTTTTGTTGACACTTCTGCAAATGGATGAAGCCCTTTAGCTTTGACCTTGCTCCTCAGTCAATGAAGGTGTTTTGAGTTTTCATACCCCTGGCAGTCCATAGCAGGGAGCTACAGTCAATAACCCCTTTCCTGTCTAGCAAAGCCATTCAAGACAGAGCAATTAGCCCTAAGAACGCAAATGCAGAGAGAAATACAATTCATGATCTTGCTCCTTGCTGTACTCTAATGAGGGACTCAGTAAAAGTTCCATTCTCCCCAGAACAAACACAACCTGAATGGATTCTTCTTTCTGCCCTTCTCTTAAAACACAATTGGCTTTTATTTATTCAGACATACTCTACATGTAACAAACCTTGGAGAGCACTAATCTTATTAGGGTCAAGGGCATACAGGCCATGCTTTAGACTGCCATAGACGTTACTTTGGATCAGGACATCTTCTGTGAAGAGTTTGTGAATAAGGTATCTAGCTGACAGGCTTGCGCAAGACTTAGCTTTTGCCAAAGTCAGTACTGAATATGGCATCCATATATTTCTCCAAGGTCTTCCAAAATAGCCTAGAAGCAAAAGAGAAAGATGTCAATTTTCACAGCAGATGTTAGGTTGCATTATTTTTTAAAGGCTGAAACAGAAACACTGATTTTTCTGAATTGTTAGGCTCAAGAATTTGAAAGGTTAAAAATCTAAGGCCTTAAACATTTTTATTTATTTTAAAGACAGAGTCTTGCTCTGTTGCCTAGGCTGGAATGCAGTAGCACAATCACGGCTCACTGCAGCCCCAGCCTCCCAGGGCTTGAGTAATCCTCTTAGCTTAGCCACTCGCCACTCAAGTAGCTGGGGCTACAGGTCCACCCCACCACTCCCAGCTAATTTTTTTTATCTTTTATAGAGGCAGGGTCTCATTTTGTTCCTCAGGCCGGTCTAAAACTTCCAGACTCAAACGATCCTCCTGCCTCGGCCTCCCAAAGTGCTGGGATTACAGGTATAAGCCGTCGTGCCCAGCCTAAAGCCTTGCGTTTTTAGTGGATTATGAGACAGCATGAGAAATGAGGTAGAAATCACTGTGATTATACATGCTACCACGGTTCAACAGGAAGATTTAATATGCTGTTACCTTTTAGGATACAATAAGTTTTAAAATTACATTTAGTAACAAATTCTAAGTAATTTAATGCACTGTTTCCCTACTTACAAGAAAGATTTTTTCAAAAATAAGCTCCATGATTCTTCCCGAAATAGTTATAATTTTTAAAATGTAGGTTTTCTATTTAGTATTAAATTCATTTTAAATCAACACACTGCTGGTTCACTTTACATATTGTATCTTAGAGATCTTATTTGAAATGAAAAGTAAGTTTTAAGACTTTTTATTTCTCAACTCTACAGCTTAATCATCATCATCTCTCTTCAGTTCATAGTGATTCAAATTAACTCTATTTGAAAAATATTATATTTTACATACAATAATTATTTGTTAAATAAAATATATTTAAAAATATAATATAATTATTTTAAGTCAGTAAGTATATTCTTCATCTTAGAACATCCATCATTTAATAGGTGGCAATAAAAACTATTGAATCATCCAGATTCAACATTTAGCAGGAGAGATTCTTTAGAAACACATTTAATGGGTCCAAAGACTTAATTCTGGGAGATTTACCTAGTAATATTTATCAAGGGTTAGGAAAAAAGGTTAATACTCTTTAACCTGGTAATTCAATTTCTAAGAACCTAACCTAAGATAATCCAAAGTATGAAAAAATCTATCTGAATCGGCCAGTGCAGTGGCTCACACCTGCAATCCAGCACTTTGGGAGGCTGAGGCAGGTGGATCACCTGAGGTCAGGAGTTCAAGATCGGCCTGGCCAACATGGTGAAACCCTGTCTCTACTAAAAATACAAAAAAAAAAAAAAACCTAGCCGGGCGTGGTGGCACACATCTGTAGTCCCAGCTACTCAGGAGGTTGAAGCAGGAGAATCGCTTGAACCCAGGAGGCGGAGGTTGCAGTGAGCCAAGATTGTGCCACTGCACTCCAGCCTGGGTGACAGAGCAAGACTCCATCTCAAAAAAAAAAAAAAAAACTGAATGAAGACTGTTTTTTTGTAGACTGATTTGTAATCCCCTTCCAAAAAACCCTCAAACCAAAATGACAACAACAACAAAAAGAAACAAAGTAGGAGACAAATAAATTGGGATGCACTTAATTAATGGAATGTTATAATCCTACTTAGAGCAAAGATTACGAAGATTGTAGATTCTTGAGGAAAAATAGATACATATTATAATGTTAGAGAAGGGGAGTAATTATGTGGGAATCATAATGTTTCCAAATGTTCACAGGAAAAAAAAAACTGGAGGAAAATGAAAATGCCCACAACAGTTTTTTAAAGTATTTTGATCGTGGGAGCTTTCTTCCCTCTCTTAAAAATATTTTCCAATTTTTAAAATAAAATGGCATAACGGACTCCACACACACTACAGTGACTGCTTGGCTCACAGTGGGCTTAGTTGCCCCGTCCCCTCGTTATAGCTGAGTCAGGGTTAGAGACATGTGGCCCAAGTTCTCACAGTCTTGGGGCTGCTCTAGTTCTTGCCTGCCTGAGACTCACTCGGTTCTTTGCTTCTTTGAATACAGGAGTTATTCAACTGGTGACTTGTGTTGTTGTTTAATTTATCCAGTCTGTGTCTGTAGTGTACAATCTTAACAAATACAGTAGTTAGATTACTTTTATAATGGAAGAAATAAAGCTATATCTTGTCAATGATTTCGTTTGAAAAGGATCCCAGGTAGTATTCTACTTAGGGTTAACATGGGGGCAGGGTACAGAGAGAATGAAGTTTTACTACTTCAGATGTCACTCATCGGTATGGGTGATGCTAAAACCCAGCACCCTGGGAAGATGCATTGGGAAGCACAAGTGGCAGGTGGCACAGTCACTACTGAACCACTGCCACTTGACACCCATCAAAGCAGGAGGCGCCTTTAGCAGACAGTTTAGCAGTGGGAGCACAATGTTCTGAGAGATGAGATTCACGAATTCGTGCCAAAAATCCTATCGCACACCTGCAATGTGCCAGGCACACAGAGAACAAGAAGTGTCTCTCAGCTGCAGCCCCTCCCCTTCACCACGGAGGGCAGTGCCTTATCAGAGCTCACATGGTCCAGTGAGTCGGCAAAGAGCCACTTTCCGTAGGAAAAATAATAGTCCCAGAACCATGTGTCTATATATTTCATTAACTCATTAATAAAAGACATTAAATTGTTTCACTTTCTGATGAAATTTCTCAAACACACATAAAAGTAGAGAGAATAGTACAATGAGCCCCAAAAATGCATCACTCAGATTCAACATTTATCAGCAAGAGAATTTATTTAAAAATAAGTTTTTTAAAAACTCACCCCATGCTTCACCAGGTTCCTCTGGATTATCAGTGGAAGGCTCTTGCATTTCTTCAGGGATAGAATCACTGTTTGGCTGCAAGTTCCCCTTTTCTCTCATTTCAGAATAATTCATTGGCTGAAACATCCAAGAACTGCCTTCACCACCATCTCTGTCCCTATGGTCATTTCTATCTGCAGATGCTGGTGCAACAGGGTTGGTAAGTTTTTTATTTTTGTGAACAGTTTTCTGTTGAAATACAAAACCATATCCGTAAACAAAGTCCCAGAGCAAGAAAATATGTCTGTGCTCTACCACCTACTAGGCCCCCCCTAGGAAAGCAACTAACTCTTTAAAAGGTGGGCTGAAGCCATAGGAATACTGTTTGTCGCAATACTATCTGGAAAGAAGGAAAGGGGCGGCTTCTTCCGCAAGCTGTCATGACCCGCTGCTCCTTGGAGGATTTTGTAGCTTTGTCTAAGGAACTGAATGAGAACTGCTGGTACAAATTAAGTGCATAATAAACATTTCACAAATAAACAAAGCAGTGAGTTTCTTGGAGATGACCACTTTTTGTTTCTCATGTTTTGTTTGTATTCTTTTTCCCTAGTGGCGCTCAAGTCTGGCTGCCCGTTTGAATGACCTTCGGGATCTGTAAAAACAAATGGTTGTGCTGGGCCCCACCCTAGGCAAATTCAGCCAGAATCTCTGGCAGTAGGAGTGGGGAGCTCAGGCGTTAGTAACTATTTTTAAGTGTCTCGTGTAATTCTAATATGCACCCAAGGTTGACAACCACTGCTCTGGGTTAGCGCTTCTTGAACTTTAGTGTGCACGCAAATCACATGGGGGATGGAGGTTGGGGAGGGTCTTGCTAAAATGCAAATTTTGCCCCTGAATCAAGACCCTGCAATTTTCACAAGCTTGCCAGTGGTCCACTGCTGCTGGGCTGTGGACCTACTCTGAGTGACAAGGACCTGTCCCATTCCTAGTCAAGCACACAGCAGGCACTTGGCAGACACTGCTTCTCTTCTCTTTTGACACCTAAGCAAATATGCAAATTACCATTTTCCAGGCAGTGTCTTAATTTTACATTCAAATTGTTTAGGGTGCAATTTTTGAAGGCTATAAAATGGAATGTTAAAAATAAGCAGATTTGGTTTCAGGCAGATGGTGCTTGAGCTATCACTGAAATCAACCCGTTCACCAGGAAAACATACGCTCAGCTACAAATATTCTTGGCAAATTGTTTCCATAAACTTACTCTAAAGACACAGGAGCGACTAGACATGGCCAGAAGAAAAGGGGGTTGGTGGAAATTAGGAACTGTCATTAAGATACATATTTCATCAAAAGACAACAGATATGACACTCTTCCCTAATGGCCCGCTTGTGGTAAAACAAACAAAAATCTCTAATGTACTTTGAAGATAGACTGGAGGATAGAGAAACTAGATTTCTGTTATCACATAACTATATGGAGTGTAAAATATCTGTAATCGTTTAACGTCATAACGTGTTTATTTCACCAAGTTCCATCATCACTAAAAGTGAACAAGTAATGAAGTGCCTGCATTTTCCCCTGCACCTCCTCAGCTACCATTGAAACAGCCAAAGAGCACACAGCTAGCTCCTTTCTGTGTTGCTCGGTGAGATACTGAAAAAGATTTGCCAAATATCTTTGTAGCTGAAACTATTTTCCTAGTATTATCCTTGGCTTCAAATATACTAATTATAGCACTTTATTTATCTTTAGGATATTTTTATAGAGCATAAATCTCAAAAAAGTAAAATAAACATGCAGTATGCTTTTGAAAGAACATCTCATGCCCCCTAAGTTAAGTTAATGAGAATTTTAGCACACGGCCTAAAGAGCCTGTAACTCATGCTATCAGTTCTGAAGCTGTACACAGTACAAACTCAGGTAATAGTAACCATATTTAGATGAAAAATAACTTACTGGAGTACTCCTGGCTTCAGAACATAAACAGCAGATCATAGAATTGATACCAGAAATACAGTCCTGCCAGTCTTTTCCATGTTCACGCAAATCACAGGTGGGAAAAGTTGTTGCCAGATATTCTGCAAACAGCAGAAAGTATTCACGAAAATTAGAAAAAAAATTAACAAACTAACGAAAATTTTTTTTCTTTAAATACTGACTTTTAGATGGTTCCATTGTGTAATGGTGAGCACTCTGGACTCTTAAATACTGACTTTGTCTCTTTCTACTTCTCATCCTTTTCTCTTATTCTTTCTGAGAATTTAGAAATTCCACCCAATGAGGATGCTTTGCTGAATTATTTCCCCTACCATGAGATCCCCTAAAACACTGACGTAGGAAGCTAATATTGAGCTCTTGTTGCTCAAAAAAAAAAAAAAAAAAAAAAGGTGTAGGCCGAGCACAGTGGCTCACGTCTGTAACCCCAGTGTTCTGGGAGGTCAAGGCAGGAGGACCAGGAGTTTGAGAACAGCTTAGGCAGCAAAGTGAGACCTCATCTCTATAAAAAATACAAAACTTAGCCGGGTATGGTGGCATGCACCTGTGGGCCTAGCTACTCAGGAGGCTGGGGAGGAAGGGTTGCTTGAGCCCAGGAGTTCGAGGCTGCACCAGAGCTATGATCACACCACTGCACTCCAGCCTGGGCGACAGAGCAAGACCATGTGTCTGAAAAACAATTTTAAGTGTGTAACCAAATGTTGACACTTTCAGGGTGTTCAGACCATTTAATAACCCAATGGATAAATCAGAGCTAAAAGGAAACATATCAAGAGAAAATAGTGTTACTGCAAACATGATTACACCAGGGGCTCACTCATTGTGTCTATCTTCCCCAGCTCTTCCCTCTGCCTAGAACATCCTCCTGTTCCCTCTACCTAGTGAAGGAGTCCTTCAGAATCCAGCTCAAACATCCTGTCCTTAGTTAAGCCTTCCCCAACTCCCTCAAAGCAGCTGCTCTGAGCTTCCCCAACACTACCACACTGGACTGGGATGTATCTGTTTCCATCAACATGTCCCTTTCTAGACTATGAGCTCCTCATAGGCAGAAACACTTATTCATTGTAGTATACTTAGTATTCATGAGTTCTAGGATCTCAATAGACATGTCTGGAAGGGAGGAAGGCAGGAGGCTTAAAAGGACTAATCAAAAAATTCTATTTCTGTGTTGCTAGTCTCCAGCACTGACAAGTCTTTAATTCCCCCACCTTTTGGCAGAGGAAGCTTTTTCCTTTTTTTTTTTTTTTTTTTTTTTTTTTTTTTTTTTTTAAGTAGCAAGTTTCAGGGCTAAAGAATTGACTTAGTACTAACCATAAACAACTATAATAGATGAGGCTTGTCTTATTCAACCATTCAAGTCAATGGACAACTTTTATTCTTTGGAAGTTGTTACCAATGATATATTATTAAGTTGTAAAATCAGGGTCAGACAGGTGAAAAAAATGAAGAGTTTTAAGATTCACACAGACTTCATTGTTATTCCTTCAACTGCCAATAACATTCATTATATGACCAAATGATTATTAAAAATAAGATTCCATTATCACTTAATGTACACATACCTCTCAATGCAGCCATTTTGTTTGGGTCAAGGGACTGGCTGTCTTTCAAATGGATATCCACTGAGTTGCCAATCAGGATTTCCTTGGAGAACAAAATACGAACCAAATAGCAGGCTGCTTGCTTAGGTTTGGCCATATTTCGTACGGCCAGTAAATGAGTTTTAAGTACTCTGACATTTCTTTTTGGATCACCAAGATAGCCTTTAAAAATAAAGAGAAAAAGGAACATCCTTGGTTTTGTCATGCAAGGGTATCCTGAAAGTACACAAGAGAATTACACTGATTTCTTTCTTCTTCTTCAAATAAGGCAAATGCTGATAAACTGATTTCTAATTCATGAATTTCTACTTGGGTGAATTTTTTTTTTCGATGCTTATCTCTTCCTTTCCCTTAAATGGGGCTCTTTGACACCATCTGCCAAACTGTCAACATTCTTCACTTCTGCTGGTCTTGAGCTTACTGTATTGAACTACTCTCTTTCATTAGTTTGAACACATGTCATTGTTAGGCTGCAGGTGCATATGTTAGGCTGCAGGTGCATATGCAAACATGTTGCCCTGAGTTTCCACTGCTCCATTTCACACTCTAAAAGTATACTCAGAGCCATTCTACTGGGTAAGTGGATGTTCCCTGAAGACAATGTTGAAAGCATGAGTGGGGATCATTAAGAAAATTTTCAAATAGCTAGCATTTATCAGTAGTTCCTGTATATCAGGCATGTGCTAAATATTTTACATCTATGCACCAGCTCAGTTTCATCATTCTAACACCTCTATCATTACTCCCACCCCATTATTCCCACCCCCATTATTTCCAAATGAGGAGACCGAGGCCCAAAGAAGATAAGTTATTTGAAAAGGTCACACTGCTAGTTACAGAGCCAGTTTTAAAATCTGTTTATGAGTCAACTGCTCTAAACCATGAATCTTCTACTAATATCTTCCATTCTTTTTCCTATGTTTTTAAAAGAAAAAATTGAAATGATGCTTTAAGTATAGTTTAAATCCTGCTTTTTCAGTTAACATTATATTTTGAGCATTTCTCTGTTTTCATCTTTTTAAAAAAAATCTGCATTCCTGTCACCATGATTTTCCTGACAAGTGACATTTATGTAGTACTTACGTCCCAGGCATTGTGTTAAGAGCTTTAAATGCATTGTCCTAGCCAGGTGCCATGGCTCACGCCTGTAATCTCAGCACTCTGGGAGGCCAAGGCGGGCGGATCATGAGGTCAGGAGATGGAGACCATCCTGGCTAACACGGTGAAACCCCATCTCTACCAAAAATACAAAAAATTAGCTGGGCATGGTGACGGGCGCCTGTAGTCCCAGCTGCTCGGGAGGCTGAGGCAGGAGAATGGCGTGAACCCGGGAGGCAGAGCTTGCAATGAGCCGAGAGCGACAGAGCGAGACTCCAGCCTGAGCGACAGAGTGAGACTCCGTCTCAAGAAAAAAAAAAGAGAGAGAGCTTTAAATGCATTGTCCCATTTGATCTTCACAATTCTGTGAAGTAGGCACTATTATTTTTGTCACTTCACAGCTGAAGAAACTAATATTTAGGTTAGGAAAGGGACTGAAGGTCATAAGGTTAGTAAGACACAGAGCGGAGATTTGAAATCAAGCAGACATGAGAGCTCATGCCCTCAACTATTAGGCTTTACTGCCTCACATGCTGTAGATACACCAGAAGTCAAGTGATTAATTCCCTATCATCATTTATTTTTGTTTGTTTGTTTCCAAATTTTCCCAATGATTCCGTAAAGGACATTCTTGTACCAAAATTTTTATGTAATTTTTTATTACACTTTCAGAGAGAAGTGAGATTACAGTCAACTGGCATAAATGTTTTTATGGATTTTTCTACAAACTATCTTTCAGAAAGTTTGTACCAATGTATACTTCTAACAATGTATCAGAGTGCCCATTTTAGTACTGAGAATCAACTTTTGTTTCTGGGTTTTTTTTGGCTGGAGTACAGTACAGTGGCATGATCATGGCTCGCTATAGCCTCAACCTTCTGGGCTGCTCAAGTGATCCTCCCACCTCAGCCTCCCAAGTAGCTGGGATTACAGGCACATGCCACCACGCCTGGCTAATTTTTTGTATCTTTGTAGAGATGGGGTTTTGCTATGTTGCCCATGCTGGTCTCAAACTCCTGGGCTCAAGCGATTTTCCCACCTCAGCCTCCTAGATTGCTGGGATTAACAAGTCTGAGCCACTGTGCCCAGCCGAGACCACAATTTTTGAAATTTCTTCTAGTTTGAGTAATAAAATAATTTAAAGGAATACGCTCTCCTCTAGGAAGGGAGTCAACAAACTACAGTCCACTGGCCCATCCCCCCACTGACATGTGTGAAAGGTATGCTGGCCATGGCCATGCCTATTCATTCCTCTACGGGCTGAGGCTGCTCTTATGTTACAACAGCAAATGTGGGTATTTGTGACAGACAATACTATCTAGCCCTTCACAGAAAAGGTTTCCTGACCCCTGTTCTAGGATATTAATAAGAGATAAGCTGCTTAGAAGTTGAGACAAAAAAGAACTGACTACAAAATATTTGGAAGGCTTACCCTTAGAAGCCACAGAGCTTGGGGTCCCCTCATCTCTGCCACTGTGGCTTGGCAGGCAGTACATGAACTGGTAAGATACGTGAGCTTTAGGCCAGTTACGGTGGCTCATGCCTGTAATCCTAGCACTTTGGGAGGCCAAGACGGATCACTTGAGGCTAGCAGTTTGAGAACAGCCTGGCCAAAATCGCAAAACCCCATCTCTACTAAAAATACACAAATTAGCTGGGCGTAGTGGTGTGTGCTTGTAATTCCAGCTACTTGGGAGACTAAGGCAGAAGAATCGCTTGAACCTGGGAGGCGGAGGTTGCAGTGAGCCAAGATCATGCCCCTGCACTCCAGCCTGGGCAATAGAGCAAGACTCCACCTCAAAAAGAAAAAAGACACATGAGTTTTAAAGTCAGAGAAAGCTGGGGCAGAGCTCAAGTCCTACTCACCAGCTCTGTGACCTTGGGGATGGGGATAATAAAAGTGCCAACACCATGGGGTCATTATGGGTATAAGTGGAGAAGAGGCATGTCAATTGTTTAGCACAGTGCCTTGCATGTAATATGCACTCAATAAATGTTAGTCATGGTTCTGAATATCACCTAAAACCTGTCCTCAAAACAGGAAACACACAGCTTTCACTGTCTTGCATCAAGTAAGTGGAAGAATGTAGCTCAAATAGTGCCACTTATAATGTGTGTCATTTCAAACTCACCATACTTGGGAGGGATACAGACAGGTGATGAGGAAGAATCCTGGCCACTGTCACTGTTCAATAAAGTTGAGCGATTCATTGTGTTGAGGCTGTTTTCCGTGTTGGTATCTACTTTTACCAAAATGTTCAGAGGTAACAGTGCTGAAAGAAAAGAACTCTCAACTGACAATTCTATATCCAGCAAAACTGTTTTTCAGGTACAGAGGGAAAATACACTCTCAGACAAAAGAAAACTAAAAATATTTGTTGCCAGCAGACCTACTTTTTTTTTTTTTTAGACTCTGTTGCCCAGGCTGCAGTGCAATGGCATAATCTCGGCTTACTACAACCTCCGCCCACTGGGTTCAAGCAATTCTCATGCCTCAGCCTTCCGAGTAGCTGGAATTACAGGCACCCACCACCACACCTGGCTAATTTTTGTATTTTTAATAGACACGGGGTTTCGTCATGTTGGCCAGGCTGGTCTTGAACTCCTGACCTCAAGTGATCTGCCTGCCTCAGCCTCCCAAAGAGCTGGAGACCTACTCTTAAAGAATGGCTAAAAGAAGATCTTTAAACATAAAGGTTATGATGATAGAAGGAACAGTGGCACATCAGAAACGAAGAAAGAATAGAAAGATGCATGTGGAGAAATGGAACAGCCACACTGGAAAACAATTACTACATTTGTAATTATAATCACTATTATTGTAATTATTATTATAATTTAAAATGTAGTAATTAATTGCAGGGTTTTCTTAGGGTTAAGCACCTAAGAGTGAAATTGCTGGAAATTTCACTCTTAGGTATTTATCCCAGAGAAATAAGAGCTCATGTTGACACAAAAACCTTCACATGAGTATCCTCAGCAGCTTTGTGATAGCCAAAACCTGAAAACAACCCAAGTGTCCTTCAATAGGTGAATGGTTAAAGAAACTGTGGTAAATCCATACCACAGAATACTACTCAGCAATAAAAATGAAAAAGAGAAAGAGCAGAAAAACGGGTGATACAAAACCATCATGAGTTCTCTAAATCATATGGAATGACTGAAACAAAAGTGAAAACACCATCTGATACCTATGACTATGATATTTAAAGGTGGGGAGAAAAAGAAACCTAAGTGGAATTAAAGTTTCAACACTTCATTCTAAGTGGTAAAATGCTGATTCCAACAGGCAGTGATAAGTCACATATGTATACAGTAACACTCAGAGCAACCACTAGGAAAACTGCACAAAGCAATATACTCAAAAACAAACAAATCAAGATGGAATGCTTAAAATGTTCAAGTAACTCACAGGAAGGCAAGAAAAAGAAAAGGAGAATGAGAAACAGAAAATAAACAGAAAAATAATAAAACGGAAGGGCTTAAACCCTGTATCAATAATTACATTAAATGCAAATAATCTAAGCATACCAATTAAGTGGCAGCAATTGACAAAGTAGATAAAAAACAAGACCCTCGATTGCCAGGTAGTGTAAATGAAAACAAAAAAGAAAAACAAGACCCACCTGTATGCTCTTTATTAGAAACTCTACAAATTCAATAACATAAGTAGGTTAAAAGTAAAAGAAAAAATTACCATGTGATATGGTTTGGATTTGTATCCCTGCCTAAACTTCATGTCAAATTGGAGGAGGGGCCTGGTGGGAAGTGACTGGATAATGTGGGCAGATTTCCCCCTTGCTGTTCTCATGAGAGTGAGTGAGTTCTCACGAGATCTGATGGTTTAAAAGTGTGTGGCACTTCCCCCTTTGCGCTCTCCTGCCACCATGTGAAGAAGGTGCTTGCTTCCCCTTCACCTTCTGCCATAACTTTAAGTTTCCTGAGATCTCCCAGTCATGCTTCCTGTTAAGGCTGTGGAACTGTGAGTCAATTAAACATCTTTTCTTCGTAAATTACCCAGTCTCAGGTACTTCTTTATAGCAGTACGAAAATGGACTAATGCACCACGCAAATATTAATACAAAAAAAAGAAAGCAGAGTGGCTATATTGATATCAGATAAAATAAACAGACTTCAGAGCAAAGAAAGTTACCAGAGACAAATAAGAACACTACATAACAATAAAAGGGTTAACCCCCAGGAAAATATAATGATCCTCAATATGTTCGCACCAATCAAAAGTGTCTCAAAATATATAAAGCAAAAACTGAAAGAGTAGAAAGGCAAAATAGACAAACCCACAGTTATACTGAGGACCTCAACACACCTCTCAGCAACTGACAGAACAACCAGACAGAGGCCAGGCACGGGGGGCTCATGCCTATAATCCCAGCACTTTGAGAGGCTGAGATGGGCAGATCACCTGGAGGTCAGGAGTCAGGGACCAGCCCAGCCAACATGGTGAAACCCCGTCTCTACTAAAAATGCAAAAATTAGCCAGGCATGATGGCACATGCCTATAGTTCCAGTTACTCAGGAGGCTGAGGCCCAAGAATCGCTTGAACCCAGGAGGCAGGGGTTGCAGTGAGCCAAGATCAAGTCACTGCACTCCAGCCTGAGTGACAGAGCGAGACTCTGTCTCAAAAAAAAAAAAAAAAAAAAAAAAAAAAAAAAAAACAACCAGACGAACATCAGCAAGGACAGAGAAGACCTGAGTAACACACAACCAACCAACAGGATTTTCATTATAGAACATTCCATCTAATAAAAGCAGAATACACTTTTTTTTTTCAAATGCCTATGGAACATTCACCAAGACAGACCATATCCTGAGCCAGAGGAAAAAACCTCAATAAATCTAAAAGAATTGAAATCATATAGAGTATATTTTCTGACACAGTGGAACCAAACTAGAAATCAATAAGACAAGAGAAAAATATATAAACACTTGGAAATTAAACAGCAAACTCCTAAATAATCCACATGTCAAAGAGAAGTCTCCAAGGAAATTTGAAAATACACAGGACACAGCTCGGGAGCAAGATAGCTAAATAGAAGCCTCCACCGATTGTTCGCCCCACAAGAACACCAAATTTAACAACTATCGACACAAAAAAAGCACCTTAATAAGAAATCCAAAATCAGCTTAGGTCCCAGCTCAGCCACAGTGGGGTAGGGTACCAAGTGGGCTCTTGGGGTCCCTGATTCCAGGCCTTGGCTCTTACATGGCATTTCTGGGCCTACCCTGGGCCAGAGGGGAGCCCACTGCCCTGAAGAGTGAGTCCCAGGCCTGGCAGCATTCACCATAAGCTGAGTGAACAGCAGCGGTGGCCTGGCGGTACCCCCTGTGGGCCTGTGGCAGTGGTGGCCACAAGGAGAGACTTCTCTGCTTGTAGAAATACGAGGGAAGAGTGGGAAGGACTTTGTCTTGTGGCTTGGGTGCCAGCTCAGCCACAGTAGAATAGAGCACCAGGTAGATTCCTGAGGTCTCCAGCTCCAGGTCCCGGTTTCTGATTGGCATCTCTGGACCTGCCCAGGCTGAGGGGAACTCACCGCCCTGAAGGGAAGGACACAAGCCTGGCTGGCTTCACCACCTACTGATTGTAGAGGCCAAGGGTCTTGAGCAAACACACACTGTAGCCAGGTAGTGGTTACAGCGAGCCTTGGGCAAGACTCAGGGTTCTGCTGGCTTCAGGTCTGACCCAGCGCAGTCCCAGTGGTGTTGGCCACAGGGTTGTTTGTGTCACCCCTCCCCCAGCTCCAGGCAGCTCACCACAGAGAGAGACTCCTTTGTTTGGGAGAATGTAAGGGAAGAGGCCAGGCGCAGTGGCTCATTCCTGTAATTCCAGCACTTTAGGAGGCTGAGGCGGGCAGATCACCTGAAGTCAGGAGTTGAAGACCAGCCTGGCCAACATGGTGAAACCCTGCCTCTACTAAAAATACAAAAATTAGCTGGGCATGGTGATGCACACCTGTAATCCCAGCTACTCGGGAGTACTGAGGCAAGAGAATCGCTTGAACCCGGGAGGTGGAGATTGCAGTGAGCTGAGATTGCGCCACTGCACTCCAGCCTGGGCAACAGAGTGAGACTCCATCTCAAAAAAAGAACAAGAGTCTCTGCCTGGTAATCCAGAGAATTCTTCTGGATCTTAACCAAGATCACCAAGGTGGCATCTCTACAAGTCTTCAAGAGCCACTGCATTACTGGGCTTGGGGTGCCCCCTGACGCAGATACGGCTTCAGTGACCAAAAACTTAGATCAAAACACCCAAGTCCCTTCGAATATCTGGAAAGCCTTTCCAAGAAGGATGGCACAAGTAAGCCCAGACTGCAAAGACAACAATAAATATCTAACTCTTCAGTGCCCAGACAGACGAACATCCACAAGCATCAATTCCATCCAGGAAGACATGACCTCACCAAACGAATGAAATAAGGCACCAGGGACCAATCCCAGAGAAACAGAGATATCTGACCTTTCCAACACAGAATTCAAAATAGCTGTTTTAAGGAAACTCAAAGAAATTTAAGATAACACAAAGAAGGAATTCATCATTCTATCAGATAAATTTAACAAAGAGATTGAAATAAAAAGTATCAAGCAGAAATTCTGGACTTGAAAAATGCAGTCAACATACTGAAGAATGCATCAAGGTCTCTCAATAGCAGAAATGATCAAGCAGAAGAAAGAATTAGTGAGCTTGAAGACAGGCTATTTGAAAATACAAAAAAGACAAAAGAAAAAAGAATGAAGCATGTCTACAAGATCTAGAAAACAGCCTCAAAAAGGCAAATCTAAGAGTTATCGGCCTTAAAGAGGACATCAAGAGAAAGACGGTAGAAAGTTTATTCAAAAAGATTTGCTAAGCGCAGTGGCTCATGCCTGCAATCCTAGCACTTTGGGAGGCCAAAGCAGGCAGACTGCCTGAGCTCAGGAGTTCAAGACCAGCCTGGGCAACATGATGAAGCCCCATTTCTACTAAAAATACAAAAAATTAGCCAGGCATGGTGGCATATGCCTTTAATCCCAGCTACTTAGGAGGTTGAGGCACGAGAATCACTTGAACCTGGGAAGTGGAGGTTGCAGTGAGCTGAGATCACACCACTGCACTCCCGCCTAGGTGACAGAGCAAGACTCTGTCTCAAAAATAATAATAATAACAGACAACTTTCCAAACTTAGAGAAAGAATATCCAAGTACAAAGTTATAGAATACCAAGCAGATTTCACCTGAAGAAGACTACCTCAAGATATTTAACAATCAAACTCTCAA